TCTGCATCTCCTCCAAGTCTTACCTGTACCCTTTCTCCCAGTTGCACCTTGCTCATTTTATCATCCACTTGGTGCTTTGTGGCCTATAGATGTCACAATGAAATAATGCAAAGCTTCGATGGTTGTTCAGAGACCAGTTGGGCTTCCCCGGGGAGCCAGTTCTCTCTCAGGGGGATTAGATGAAAATAAGTCATATTAACTGGTGTCTGTTTATCCCGAAGCTTGCTTTAAACTGATGACTGAAATTCATTCTCCTACTCTTTCCCCTCAGACCACAAGTCAAGATCGTATCCAACCTGTCTGTCTAAGAACTCCAGTCACCTAAGTGAGAACTGATAGAATTCAATCAAGCAAAATGCACAGCTTTGCCTCTTACCAACACTGTCCCTTTCCTCTCTGCACACACATGGTCACAGGCAGATATATGCGCATGTATACCCACAAAGGTCACTGAGGCGCTCTGAGCCTGGCACACGTGTGATGAACAAACTCAGCAAAAACCCTCAATTATTTGTCATTACTGAAAATCCCTACGTTGGACTTTTTCTTTCACAATGTTTTGAACTGCCTGAGTGAGCCAAATTCTCCCTTTCAAGTTGTCAGAACTCAGCAGGTTCAGAGGAATTGTTACTGATGCTGTCTGGTTGAGGGGACTCGTGGAACTTTCCAGAAGTAAGAAGCAGGTGGATCAGAATGCCTCAAAGATGGAATAAAAATTCTTTGAAATGTGAATTGATCAGGTTAAAAATGCATGTAGTTTAGAGCCTGCTAGTCACACCCAGAGTTCCAGGGAGCCGGAAGAGGTACACAGCTGAATCCTCACAAAGATTTGTCTGCATAAGCACATCGAAAGGGAGAGTGGAAGCAGATAGCTAGATATTCAGCCCTTCTGTGCTCTGACCTCCACCGCCGTTGTTGAGTGAAAGGCCATGTGGGGGGAGAGACTAATTAATGAAACTAGCCATCTTCATTTAATCAGACCTGCCAGAAAATTGTTCTGTTAACAAAGGGCTAAATGTTGTTGCTCAGGAAAGTAAAAAAGGGCAGTGATAGTGTTCATCTTGGGATAACTACAAAAATATTAATGCCACCTCTTAGCTGCAGTTTTAACTGTAGAAGTCAGGCAATCGCAAATTACTGTTCTCACAGCAACTATGATTCAGCTGACTCCACAAGGCTTGTCATAGATGAGGACCATACTTCTGTATCATCATTGTGGGAGAAGTGCAGTTCTTTTATTTATGTCTAAGCCATGGAAAGTTTTATTTCATAAGCATCTATTTGGAAATGTGGTTATTAGAGACTGACAAAAGTCCTTCTGAACCACTGAAAATAAATGTTTTGATGTATGGATAAGCATTCATGCCACTCTTGAACTTCATGTTCAGGAGGTCATAATGGTCTCCAGGACAGTAAAATTTGAAAATTCTCTTATTTCCCTAAGGAATATCCAAAACTTGAGATTTTTGAGCAACATAATCCCAGCACTCAGGCTGACAGGACAAAGAGGAGATGGTGTATTCCAAAAAGGAAAATATACCCTAATTTAAATATTCATAAGACTTAATCTGTTATGTTTATGATGATGAATTTGTCATTCTAAATGTAAATGATCTACAAATCTTGGTTTTATTTTAAGCATTTTCTTGTCAGTAAGGGGGAAAAAAAGCCCTTGGGTGAGAAATGAGAAAAGTTAAGCACTCCCTTTTCCTGTCTCCTGTTCCATCAGGCCCTAGAAGATTAGGAATAACACTCTTGCTTGAAACGGAAAATAAACCAGTCTCCAGTAAGGTGGCGAAATGCTCAAGGAATCACCCACAGGGTTACTAGAAATAGTGTGTCAGAGAGGAATAGAGCATGCAAAGGAAAGTCATGGGCTTGCCCTCAGAGAAAATAAGACAATGAACAGAAACAGATTCCTAGCTATGGCTTAATTAGAGTGTGACTTAGACTCTTAAAACTTAATAAGAGTATTAGCATATTTTAAAAATATTTTTCGGGGGCTTCCCAGATGGCACAGTGGTAAAGAATCCACCTGCTAGTGCAGGAGATGCAAGAGACACAAGTTCAATCCGTAGGTCGGGAAGATCCCCTGGAGAAGGAAATAGTAAGCTGCTGCAGTTTTCTTGCCTGGAAAATTCCATGGACAGAGGAGTCAGGTGGGTTACAGTCTGGGGAGTTGTAATGAGTTGGACGTGACTGAGTGACTGAGCACACAGCATAGCTTAAGGTGATAGAAGATAAGAATGAAATACAAAGGGAAATTGAAGTCTAATGAATCAAAATCGAAAACAACATTAATACAGAGATGAAATATAAATTAGAAATGTTAATGTATATGAGACTCTACTGAATATCCGTTTATCAGCAATAGAGATAAGTATTGATATAATCACAGTAATTACAGATGACAGATAAGGAAATAAAAGGCAGAGAGAATCTAAAAAGTATTAAATCATTCAAATATTATACAGTATGAGGATAATTATTGGAACCCCTGAGTAGAAAATCTAACAAATGGAACAAAACATATTTTGAAAGATAAAGTTATGTAAGAAAATTTACCATAAATGAAAGGACCAAATCTATTCTAAGAAATATAACACAGAATGCTCAAAATCCAGCCGTAGCTTAGTTAAGCTGCTAAGCTTCGAGGATAAAGAAATAATTCTTCAGGTGTCAGAATAGAAAAGTCAGTTTCCTACAAAGGAGAAAAAAGTCAAGCTGGCTTAGATTTGTGCATTGCCACATTCACTGCTATCCTTTCTGCACATGGTGAGAGAGAGAGACCCAAGGATGTTATATCTAGCCAAGATGTTGTTAAAATATATAGACAACAGGGAGACGTGCTTCAGACTGAAGAACTTAAGCAACTTTGAGACCTTTTTGAGGAACATACTTGATAATGGCAGTCTAGCCAGAAAAAAAAAAAATCAAAACTCAGAAATGGAGAAGTCATGGTAAAACAACTGGTGAGAACCACTAGGTATGTCTAAATGTAGAACTAATTCTCAGTAGCTATGGGATTAGCATTACAGTAAGAATAATAACTAAAACAAAATGAAAAATGGAGGCCAGAGATAGAAAGCAGTTGGAAAGGCCTGTTTCTTATCTTTCCCAACAAGGAGTCAATTAGTATCGTCTAAAATTACCTTATGTCATTTAAAATATAAATACATAAGTATTCCAGTCTCTTAATATTTTATATTTTTATCTTAAAATGATCATTTGTGTGCATGCTCAGTTGCTAAGCTGTGTCCAACTCTTTGCATCCCCATGGACTGTAGCCTCCAGGCTCCTCTGGCCTTGGAATTCTCCAGGCAAGAATACTGGAGTGGGTTACCATTTCCTTCTTCAGGGGATCTTTCCAACCCAGTGATCAAACCTGCATCTTCCACATTGATAGGCAGGTTGTTTATCACTGAGCCACCAAGGAAGTCCAGAATGATCATTTATATTATTTAGAATGATGCATAATAGAGTGCAGAGACTTTTATTTGAAGCTTATCAGTTCTTTCTCTTTCATTTTTAGTATTCACTTATAATGAAAATTTATACTTTCATTTAAAAAAAAATAGTACTTAAGGTATGGTCCCATTTTACCAATGTCTGTCTGCATATGGATTTTTAAAGGTGGATGCTGTGATGTTCATCTTGTATTAATAATGATTATTTCTAGGTTATGAGATATTTTTTTAAAAAATTTAATCTTTGTAACTTATGGCATTTAAACAAATATTCTGAATCATTGTGCTTTGTCTTATGAAAACAACTGCATGACTTTTCTTAAAAACTAATTGTATGTGATATAAACATTTGGAATTATTTTCTTCTTGATACTCTTCTGTAACTTTTGAATTTAAAAATATTGAAGAATTAATCAACTAGTTAAGAGTGAATAGATGGTAAGGATAAGAGAATATGGAACCATGTATTTGAAGACATTCCCACCTGCTCAGTTCCTTTTGGGGTGTTGAGTCCAGGTAGATCTGAAGTCTCCTCCAGAGCCATCTGACTGAACAGTCGTAGCAACCAGTATTTCTTGGTGAGCATATCTTAAATATTTTTTTGTTGTTTATTTATTTGGCTGTACCAGGTCTTAGTTGCCACATGCAAATCTTTAGTTGCAGCGTGGGAACTAGATGTGGGATCTAGTTCCCCAACCAGGGATCAAACCTGGATTTTCTGCATTGGGAGCACAGAGTCTTAGCCGCCGGGCCATCAGGAAAGTCCCAGGTGACCATATCTTTCTGGGGATGGTTTAAGGGACAATTTTCTTTCCATTATCAAGTGTAGAACAAATTGGAGTGTGAAAGAGGATAGTAGAGACATCCTTTGGAAAATAGTTACACTTTGGGGCTCAAAGATTTTTTTAATAGCTTCGCTGAGATATACTTCACATATCATAACCTTCACTCTTTTAAAGTATATGATTTGGTGATCCTCAGTATCACCAAATTTCACATTGTGAAACCATCACCACTGTCTAATTCTGAAACATTTTCAATGTGCCCTCAAAAGAAGCGCCATACTCATTAGCAGTCACTGCCCATTCCTCCCTCCCGCCAGCCCCTGGCAACCACTAATCTACTTTCTCTCTGTAGATGTGCTTATTCTGGACATTTCATATAAACAGAATCATACCAATGTGGTCTTTTGTGACTGGCTTCATTCACTCAGCATAATGTTTTCAAGGTTCCCCCCATGTTGTAGAATGGATCAGCACTTCATTTCTTTCTATTGCAGAGTAATATTCCATTGTTATGGATATATCACATTTTGTTTATCCATTCATCAGTTGATGGACATTCTGGTTCTTTCTGCTCTCTGGCTATTACAAATAATGATGCTGTGAGCATTTATTTACAAGTTTTTTGTGTGGACAGGCATTTTCATTTTTCTTGGATATATACCTAGAGATGGGACTGCTGGATCATATGGTAAGTCTCTGTGCAGGCACTCACACAATTAAACTGTTCCCTTTTTGTTTTTGTTCCCAGGCAGAAATGGTGCATAGTGCTTTCCAGGCCCAGCGAGCTTTCCTTCTGATGGCCTCTCAATACCAGCAACCCCAAGAGGTAAGAGTGTATCCTGAGAACCGAGAGTGCCCAGAGGAATTGGCAGTGTAAGATAGAAAACAGGCAAGCAACAGAACCAGTTACTGTGAGACACATCCCAAAAATGAGATGGATAGGACTGAAAGTTTTATCTCTAATCCAGATTATAGTACAAAACCTTTCTTCGGCCTTTACAGTCTTGTTATGACCAAATTTATACTGTGACATTCGACATCACCTATTTAAAGGGTCAGTTTATCTATGCACCTGTATTCTATCCGTTTTTACTAGTCTCACAACCAATTTGTGATTAAGGGAGTATTTACTACTAATTTTTAGTTCATACTTTGTGCCTCTTTGTTATAAAAAACTGCTCGATGGCTGCTTCTCAAAGTCTAGTCTTCATCTGAGTCCGTCTGGATTCAGTGATTTGTTAAAGCGCAGAATCTGGGAAGAGAGCCCGGGACTCTATAGATCTAACAAGCTCTCAGTGTGCTGCTGCTGCTGGTCTGTTGCTACATTTTGAGCAGCAAGACTCAGGCGTCCCCACCTGAAATGCCCACCAGCACGAAATCCTTTCGTAGACAAATACCAGGCTCGTGTTCTTTTTTCCTATCGTGTCTATATCAAAGCAGGCTGTTATGCTGCATTAACAAACGTTTGCAAAATCTTAGTGATTTACAGCCCTGATCGACAGTGATGACATCCAACTCCAAATTTCCTGCCTCATTTTGGACTAAGACACATGGTTCTTAGATTCTCTATTAGAAAGGATTTCAAGTTTTTCAACCTTGATCTATAGGAAAAAGTGTATTTTATTTCACCATCCAGTTGCACAAAACAACTGTTGTAATGTGCATTTCATTATGATATATTTCACATAGTCCATTGTATTGCTTTGTTCTTTTCTTCTTTTTCAAAGATTGTCACCCACTGAACTGATTTCATGATATACTAATGAGTCATCCCATCTTGCACCTTGCAAACACCCCTCTTGTCTTACAGACATAATACAGTGATCCTGATACAGAACAATTTGTGAAACATGTGCAGAACATCTCATGCTTTTCTTCTCTCCCCTTGTTGTAATTTATAAAAATGATCTTTAGGCAAAAGATTGTTCTAATCCTTACAATATTGTTGTTAAGAATTCTAGTGACACAGAAGAGCAAATATTGCACAATCCCACTTATATGAGGGATCTTAATTAGTCATATTCGCAGAGACAGAAAGTAGAATGGTGATTACCAGGAGCTGTGGGGAGAAACAGATTGTTGTTGAATGGATAGATGGTTTCCCTTTTGCAAGATGAGAAGGTTCTGGAGATCTGTTTCATAACAGTGTGCATATACTGAACACTGCTGAACTGTGCACTTAAAAAAGGCATATGTAGGAAGCCTTTTTAGGTATTACAGACCAGGTGCTGCCAAACTGTGGCCCATGGCTCAGATGCCTGCTTTTTTAAATTAAATGTTACTAGAACATGACAAAAAAAAAAAAGAACTCTAGTGACAATTTATCATGCCCATCTTTTTCCAGTTGATAGAAGGAGTCTCACATAAAAAATGGCCAAGAAACCCCTCTTCTATATGTGTAGAATTTTGGTGCATTCAGCTCTTCACTGGGTCCAGGGAAAATAGGATATTTCTAATTTGCAAGCATGAAAAATGAAGTTCAGTGATACATTTTAATGCCCTGGCCATAGGATCTAGACCTGGGCCCATTACTTTACTCACCATCCAAAGTTCTCTTCATGGATACTACACATAAAAAGAGCTGCAATGCATAGTCACTTATAAGAGTTACGTGGTAAAATAAAATGTAGAAAATGTTTGTAGTTAAATAGGGAGAGGTGAAACAAGTGCTGTTGGCATGGAGACATCTCCCATCACCTGGGAGAGATGTGGAAGATGATCTTTAATCATTTCTACCATTTGTTGTTGTTCAGTCGCCCAGTCATGTCTTAACTCTGTGGTTCCATCGACTGCGGCATGCCAGGCTTTCCCATCCTTCACTGTCTGCCGGAGTTTGCTCAAATTTATGTCCATTGAGTTGATGATAGCATCCAACCATCTCACCCTCTGTCACCCCCTTCTCCTCCTACCATCAATCTTTCCCAGCATCAAGGTCCTTTCTAATGAGTCGGCCCTTTGCATCAGGTGGCCAAAGTATTGGAGCTTCAGTATCAGCCCTTCCAATGAATGTTCAGGGTTGATTTCCTTTAGAATTGATTGGTTTGATCTTGCAGTCCAAGGGTCTCTCAACAGCCCCACAATTCAAAAGCATCAATTCTTCAGCTCAGCCTTCTTTATGGTCCAACTCTTACATCTGTACCTGACTACTGGAAAAACCACAGCTTTGATTATATGGATCTTTGTCAGCAAAGTGATGTCTCTGCTTTTGAATATGCTGTCTAGGTTTGTCATAGCTTTTCTTCCAAGAAGCAAGCGTCTTCCAATTTGTTGGTTGCAGTCACCATGTGCAGTGATTTTGGAGCCCAAGAAAATAAAATCTGTCACTGCTTCCACTTTTCCCCCTTCTATTTGCCATGAAGTGATGGGACTGGATGCCATGATCTTTTTTTCTTAATGTTGAGTTTCAAGCCAGCTTTTTTACTTTCCTCTTTAACCCCTATTAAGAGGCTGTTTAGTTCCTCTTCACTTTCTAAGTTAAATAAGCAGGAAAGAAACAATATACAGTCTCATCATACTTCTTTCCCATTTGAACCAGTCCATTGTTCCATGTTCAGTTCTAACTGTTGCTTCTTGACCCACATATGTGTTTCTCAGGGGGCAGGTAAGGTGGTCTGGTGCTCCCATCTCTTTAAGAATTTTCCATTTTGTTGTGATCCACACACTCAAAGGCTCTAGCAGAGTCAATGAAGCAGAAGTAGATGTTTTTCTGGAATTCCCTTGTTTTCTCTGTGATCCAACGAATGTTGGCAATTTGATCTCTCATCTCTACCATGAATGACCCCAAAACTTTGGCCACAGCTGAAAATGTAACTTCTGCTAGCCCAGTGCCTCTAAAGTCCTGGATGGGCACCACTTGGAAGGAAGACTTATCATAGGGGTTTTGGGGAGGTCTTCTACCTGCGCCCCCCGACCTTAGTTTCAGACAGATGGGCAGCACCTTTGTGGTAAAGGACCACATCTGTTGTGTTGTAACTACAGCAGGGAGTGTCTTCCCACCTACAGACAGTTCCATATTTTCTTCAATACATCTTATGCTGCTGAGGACCTGACAATGAAACTGTGTGTGAGTGTGTGTTTGCATGAAATTAATGTGTACTGGTACATAGTGGAAGAAATTAACCCTAAGTTTCCAGCTAAAGGGAAGATGATTTATGGCCTTTGACTGGCCTGTTGACTTATTCTATTAAAAAGACTAGGAAATCTGAGTTTTTTAATCTTCCATAAGTAAGAAAGAGTTTCTTCCACCTGCCCTCTCTTTTTCTGTCTTTATTTGACTTGCATTTTAAAAGGAAATATTGGTCACAGCACTGTTTACAATAGCTAGGACATGGAAGCAACCTAGATTTCCATCGGCAGATGAATGGATAAGAAAGTTGTGGTACAAATCCACAGTGGAATATTACTCAGCTGTTAAAAAGAACACATTTGAATCAGTTCTAATGAGTTGGATAAAACTGGAGCCTATTATACAGAGTGAAGTAAGTCAGAAAGAAAAACACCAATACAGTATGTTAATGCGTATATATAGAATTTAGAAAGATGGTAACAATGACCCTGTATGCGAGACAGCAAAAGAGACACAGATATAAAGAACAGACTTTTGGACTCTGTGGGAGAAGGCAAGGGTGGGATGATTTGAGAGAATAGCATTGAAACATGTATACTACCATATGTGAAATGGTAGTATACACTGATCAGTCCACGTTCTATGCATGAAGCAGGGCATCCAAAGCTGGGACAACCCAGAGGGATGGGATGGGGAGGGAGGTGAAAGGGGGGTATGAGATGGGGGACACATGTACACCTGTGGCTGATTCATGTCAGTGTATGCAAAAACCACCACAATATTGCAATGTAATTAGCCTCCAAATTAAAATAAATAAATTAGTTTAAAAAAATAAATAAAAGGAAATATTGGGACTTCCCTGGTGGCCTCGTGGTTAAGAATTCACCTTGCTATGCAGGGACCACAGGTTCGATCCCTGATTGGGGAACTAAAGTCCCACATGCTGTGCAGTTACTGAGCCTGTGTGCTCAGGAGCCTGCACTTACCACAGCTAGAAAATCCATGCCCCTCAAGGAAAGATCCTACGTGATGCAACAAAGATCCTGTGTACTGCAACTAAGACTTGAGGCAGTCAAATAACTATTTTTTTTAAAAAAGGAGATAGTGCCTTCCTGTGCACTGAACAGGAATCTAAAACTAATTTTTTGTCCTTTCATTATTTAAAGAGTCTGAGAAATTAGAAGAGAAAGGAGGATGAGAGACCCCTTCTGTCCATTCCTCCATCTAGTGATATGCATGGCCCAGCACAGTGCTCCACCAGAGCCCTCAGTCAGTAAGGATTTTCTAAGCTGTGGGGCAATAATCCAATTTGTTGATAACTTATTAATCTTAAACCAACCAAGAAAGCCTAGTAGTTAACCTTAGGACTTAAGCTAATTACTTAGGTATATTGAGAGATTCCGATATTTATGGGTTTTATGCTCATAGGTTTGAGATTTTTTTAAAAACATTAATTTGTGAGGGTGGTCAAGGGTAGAATCTTTGGACTTGGGCCTACCTGGATTTGAACCCCAGATCTTCTACTCTTTAGCTTTGTGAATCCAAATGCAAGAAAAACAAAAAGGGTCATCTTTTTTTTTTCTGGATGGCTACTGGAAAATTAATCTGGTAAAGTTCACAAGAAACTCCCACTGAACTGAGCCACTCTAACCAAACCAACTTGTCAAGTTACCCACTTAAGAAAGCAGTTAAGTTCTCTTAGCCCATGTTTCCTTATTTTTAATAGGGATAATAGTTCTTATCTCATAGAGTTATTGTGA